TTAGTTGCTTAAAGCAATAACGATATTGTGGATATGTACGACGTTTCGTCTGTCTTAAATTTACTATATCCATGCAACATAACACTTCATAAACACGTGAAGCAGTGGAACTCTGATTGCAGTAATACAACCGGAAATCAACTTTACAAAGGAGGGATCTTCGGTTGTATTACTTTTCTTTTCTACAAATATCCTGAAATCAAGAAAAAAAAAACACATCATAAATATAAATCCGCTTCATCTAATTTCCCCTATTTGATTACACCGTTCGAGATTACTCGTTTAACTTGCTGATTCAAAAAAATTCCCGTCATATCCGTAGGTCACGGTATACCGGGTACATATTCCACACATCGTGAAAGGCTAATATTGTTTCATATATTTCTGATGAATCGAAAAAAAGACGCCTTTCTTGTTTTCCAGAATTCAAAAACAGAAAAGAAACTTCATCACAAGAATTTTTATTCGATTTTATAGTGCAATTTAAAGAAAAAAACTTTGAATCATCATATGATGAATATTCAAATGAATTTTCCAACCTAATAAATTACACAATTGTAACAAAGCATCCCAATAAACTCTTTATTTTACACACTAGAAGCATACTTTGATATACAAAGAAGAAGGAGATAGATTTAATTTCAACAGTTTGCACCGAAGAAAAATGAAGATTCCGAACATATGCATTATGAGGGATTGAAGATCAAAAAATACAAAAGAAACAGCAATCATTTAGCACAGAGATCAAAGGATGCTAATACTTTAGGCGATTAAATCACTTGCTTTTTGTTTCTACTTCACATTTTATTTGCTATTCGTAGTAAACAATGTGAATTTTATGAATGGCTAAACCTATAGCAGGTTACAATAAAGCATCCGAACAGCATCAATCACAACTGCTCCGTAACGTAAAAGCATGCTCCCTTGATTAAAAATGAAATAATACTTAAAAACAGGAAATAAAAATATAAACGCAATAAAGTTTGCGGCTTGTGACAAAATGGAAAAAACGGAAAAGTTTGCATCCTAACACATTGTCATCTACAATGATAGAAAATTGAAGATTTTAAAAATATAGAATGGATAATTTTGCAAAAATTTTCACAAGCAATACATGCAATATTGTTTATGGAATTTTTTTTTCTACTCATTATAGCTTTTATCTACGTCGCAAAATTGCTCCTTCTAAAATCCAGCTGTTTAAAAATACACATTCATTCAAGAATTCCAATTTTTTGAGAATTGAGTAATAAAACAAAATCATATTAGACTTATTGTTTCTTCTTAGTTTTATCCGCAACATTGATATATTTTTTTGCAAGCGTATCTTTTAAAGATCGCCGCACATTTTTCATATTATGAAGACCCGGAATCACATTACGTAGTTTCACACCGGGAGAATCCTCCATTTCTGAAAATCTTATCATTTATTCTTTCATTCAGTATCTCATATTCATTTGTAGCATACATTTAGTATCTCATATTCATTTGTAGTATATATATTTTTCTTCCCATATTTTCATAATTTATTATTCAAATCCTGTGACATTCCTGACACCATTTTCTTTTAAAACATGGCAAACTGCTGTACTGTGCTTAAAAAATTAAGAAAACGTAAATGTGAAGTCAACTGTGCCAGAATGAACAAAAATGGATGCGATGTGAACATAATGAAAATGATAATGCAAATTTCAGTCAACTGAACTGTTATTAAATTTTGTGAACGATCATGCACATTAGATGGAATCAGAATATGACAAAAAGATCAGCAATTATCTAGCCTGCTCATTTCCCTGTGTGTTTATGAATGAAAAAAAATTAATGATTACTCACTTTTGCCAGAAAAAAATGGCGGTGAATGTGCATTTTGCTTATCTACCCGCTCCAAACCATTTCGAGATTTTGATTTTAGTTTTTTAAACTCATTTTTACGAGATACAACATCGCGTTGACGCTTAATATCTTTTTCCGTGTCATTGTTGCTATCAATTTCGCCACTGTTGCTACCAACTTCGGGAAAGTTCGCGTTGGTAATTTTCGAAGGACCATCCACTTCTTTCAATAGATGGCTAGCGATTCGGTCACTTTTAAGTCTTTTTGGAACAGGCGGTTTGTTGGGCGATATGTTACTACCTAAGCCATACCTTTGATAAATGCAGAAGAATTATTGAAGGCGAATAAACCAAACAAAGTTACTATAATTAAGGATTGGTAAGTGGAAGCATAATGTGAGATGTAGAATTAAAAAGAAAAGGTTAAAAACCAATCATATATAATCATCATACTCAAAGTATGTTCAAATTGGTGATAATTTTTTTATGTAAAACGTAAAAGTGTTATATATTTTGTGAAATCAAAAGATTCTGAATCTAGTTATTCACTAGATAACGATTCCTCTTTTGAATAACCACCACTACAATTTAAAAAAGTGCTTAAAAAAACTATTAGATGCTGAAACGGAACATGAAGCTTAGGACAGGATAATAATAAAAAATATATATGTTTAGAAAAAACAGTTTCTTGGAAAAATAAGATAAAAAACAGTAAGTTAAGTGTAAATAGGGCAACTTTGGTGAAGGAAAGACGTGAAAAGAAAGCATGATGAAGTTGATAAAATAACAAAAAATATACCTAAATCTTCTACATCCCCCTCACGTTTACGAGATGTCTTTGGTGAAATATTTTCGGCCTTCTCTTTCTCATCGATCAACGATATTTTTGAATTTTCTTTTTCTTTGGTTTTTCTTGACTTCAAACTTTTAGATAGTAACGGCTGAGTCTTAACTTGATTAAAAATCTGAAACATAATAAAACTGATAGGAAAAGAAACATAAAGAAACTAATTCCATTTATTTGCTCAGCCTTATAAAAAACCATAAAGACAAACAAAAAAAATGATGTGAAAAATCTACTATTTGAACATTCCCGTAGTCCACTTTGCTTACATAAGGCGTTTCATAAGCGAGCTTAAAAAGCTTGCTCAGAAAAGATACATATTCATCTTGCAGAAGCATTTTAATATTTCTGTCGAGTTCCTTCGAAAACTTTTCTTTTTCTACCATAACCTGAAGTAAGAAGATAAAATCACATGTTTAAATCTCGTTCACTATAGATTATTTTGACACTTCCTTTCAGCAAAACAAGACATCTGCTTATGTCAAACATCTCCTAATAAAATAATCATCACCACAGCTATATACTTTCTATCGCTTTATTTTTGTTGAAAAGATAATGCAAGCTTTCCTAAACTCCCTATCTTAGATTACTTTCTTGAATTACAGTAGAATGAAATGACCACATATAATAAGTACAGCTGATGAGAAGATACTAAAATTTTAACAAGCAGTAAAAAAACATTTAAACTGCGGCTATAAATTTCATAACTTATTTTTGCGAACTTTTAAACTATACTACAGCAGCACTAATAAAAATCTTACTGCTTCTGGTTTTTGTGCACACTTTTGCCAAGGTAACGTTCCACATAACCAATAAAGTATATTGTATCCTAGTATTTCCAAGTCTCCTCGAAATGATGGCGAATAGCCACGGTGAGCATCCAGTGAAGTAAACAACAAAGTTCCATTGTGAGCTAAAAAATATATAATAAGGTACCAAAATAAAATATTAAAATGAAAAACTGCACTATTTCAGAGCCAAAAAGTCTTAGATTATACCTCTTTTTTTATCCGGTTTATCGACATTTCCTTTGGCCAATCTTGCAAGTCCGAAATCAACCAAGAAACATTTGGAATATTCGTTTGCTGATGCCAACAGAATGTTGTCTGCTTTTAGATCACCATGTACATAATCCTGAATAACAATTAATGCAACAGAAAGCCATAAAATCGAAGTGCTGATGACTTCGATTTCTGTATTAAGCTAGCAAAATTCTGTACTTAAGAGATGGTTATGAAATATATTACAATCTACTGGAATCGATACATTTGGGACTGTGAACATGGAACACCAACGTGGTCCTGCATGTATGATAAACAATCCGCGCATTGCTTCGCAACAGTCAATACTAAAGGCATGTCCAAAACACCACCATTTGCTATACGATACGCTTCGAGGGATTTCTCATATCGCGGCATAATCAAAAATCGTAACTTTTCACCGTTATATGTAAATAAACCGCTACTCACATATGATGGCAAACCGATATGGCTGATTTCTGCAAAAAATTTTTAATAGTGTATATAATCAAAAGCAAAATAAATAATTTTCTTTAGTTATTTGAAACAGTCCATAACTGTATAAAAATAAAGAGGAAAGGAAAATGGAAAAATCAACTGAACGAACTTTTCTTATCTATCCAAGCCTCAAGCTTTTGCGGTGTTAGGATCCGTTGAAAGACTGTTATTTCAGTAAAAAGTGGGCCATTCGCATATGGTTCAATTTTGATCGCAAGCGAACCAGTCTTCCCATATTCTTTACTGTCTTCCTGAAATCCAATTCATTGAGACACTGCACGAAATGGATAGCATAACAATATGAGTTCAAAAAAATTGCATTCTGTAAAAAAGAGAAAAACATCGAGATTGTCAAAAAGAAATAAAACAAATGTAAAATACATCTCGAGTATATTTCAAACTGGTGGCAGATAGCACATTTGATGAGACGGTACATAAAATACCAAAATAATGAATTCTACCAGTAGATTTCCAGAAGAAAAACCAATGTTTTGTTTCAGTAATCATGGTAGACATGCCATATTAATATGCATACCTAACTTATATTCAAAACTTATTTCAAATAAAAAAAAACTACTTGTCTTCCATAGTAAATTCGTCCAAAACCACCACGCGCAAATTCTTTTTCAATGACGAATCGGTGCTTGAGAGTATCTGTGATAACTGTTTTCTCCATAACAATAGAAGCCAATTGGTGTGATTTCTTTCGCGAAGCTGGCATTGTCTCAAAAGAAAAACCAAAATCGATGTTAGACCGAAAATATCAAATTTCCGGAAATTCAAATAATTTACGAAAATCAATCGACGAGGATGCAAAATGAATTTTTTTTAGACTCCTGATAATTTATGATGTACCATATCATAATACTCTAATCAGGAAAGAATATTATTCCATGTTACATACAAAAACCCCTAATCGAATCATCAGGCTATTTCGGAAATAATGGAGGTACAGAAATCCTAAAATGATAGTATGACATTTTTGTTACCAATCTCTTCCCGCTGTTCTCTCATAAAAATCTTATCGATCTTTGCCGCTTCTCTATCTTTAATATCGTTCTATCACGCACTCTCCTTTTCTGCCTCTCCATAAATTATACACTCAATGCTAATCTCTCCCAATCTCTTCCTTCAAAATTTTGCTTATCAGACAATCTATTCTTCGTCATCTAATTGCCATAATTGAAAACCGTTGAGCAGGTTATGCTATGAGTAGCTAAAAATCAATCTTTAATGATTTATGATTGATTCTTTCGCCGTTTTTTCCTCG